CAAGATTAACCTGGTGCAAATATATGGAAAGAGTCTGTTAAAGTCTCCAACTGTCGTCTGCCGAAGCTCAGACTCTGGCACAGGACGGGGAACGTTGGAAGCACTATCTGACCTGGCTGTGTCCGTGATCCGAAAGGAGAAGCGGCCATGGAGGAAGAAGAGGAAGATGAATGATATGATACAACTACTGGACCATTTGAATGGCGCGGCATTCGAAATGTGGTTCAAAACGGAAGAGGAAAACAAAACAGGATATCATTCATAGACATCCAGGTCTTTCGCCTGCTTAAGGAGTTCACTGAAAAATTCGTCAACCGAAAACCATACCAAACGGATGAATGGTGGAATTTTAAATCGAACAACTCTGCGATTACGAATGATGGAACAATCGGATATTTTCTAGCTTGAGTTCGTTATCTGACGTCGTAGAACAGGCACGGTAAATCTTTTCATCTACGAAAGGGATACTGGAATTACAAACTGCGGCAGAGGGATCACTAGGCAAACCGCGCTGATCCTTAAAAAATGTGACGAATCATCGCATATTAAACTTCTGGATATATAAATATTTCTAGGTTCAACTGGAAAGTTTGACATCACTCAGCGTGAACTAATGTACTTATTTTGGGTTTCTTTCGAGTATTTGATTAAAAACGAAGCAGCTGAGGGTAAAGAAGAAATTTAGGTGCCAAAGAACAATTGAAATCGACGAATAAAACGAGCAAAACCGAGGAAACTTAAAATCGGAAAAAAACTTTGGCTTACCTGGCTGTTTAACAGCAATAATTTCATCTGCAGGAACAAAATCACAATCAGCATTTGCATAAGACCGTTTCTTTGCCGCATCGCCTATAAATATATTCCTGTGCGTTCATTCAGATGTACTTGTGGCAAATTATGCAAATTCGAATCAATGTTATACCTCCACACAGCAATATGACAATTAGCTTTACATTTCGTTGACAGGAACCATTTATGGTACTCTTTCTTTCATGGAGCAATGGTTCAGTGCTTAATTTTTGTTTTTAAGTCTATATCTGCAGCTCGGTGGTCACTAAGTGTAGTCTCCTGTTTCGCTGCCAGTATATGGCACTATTGTATCAACCTCCTAAGAACTGAAACAGAGTGATCGATCAGCCTGGGACTTGAACCTGAACTGACAGACAATCTCTCCTGTGACTGTGAGTATGACGCTCCATCGACTGATCAACCATATAGAAACTGGAATCCGTTTCACAGAAAATCACTTAGAAGAGCAAGCTAAATAGAGATTTGTTAACGACAAGGAACTTTTCCTTTGTCGACGAAGCAAACGGCTCCCAATATTAAAGATGAAGCGTTGAAATTAGCAGACATGACAGACCAATGCAAACAAACAAAAAAGTAATACGCGGTATTTATTCCGAAATCTGGATACTCAGTAATAATGAAACTTGAAGAAATCTAGATTGGTATCTTTATTAGCATGACAATCCAAAAGTAATCAGTACAGTAGTAAAATTTCAGTTCTACTACTTACGTTGTTGGCGATGATGAATTGTTTTCCGGTAGTAAGCCATCATTTCACTGTCCATTTCCCCAATGTCGTTGTTCATTTCCAGCATTTCGCTGTCCAACGCCAGATCGCTGTCCATTTCTACCATGTCACTCCCCATTTCCATTATGTTTCTGGCTTCCAAAACTTCATCGCCTAGTTCCTGGTCATCAGCGCAAGTAAAACTGTTC